TCCCATCACTGTACATTAAGAATACTGTCGGAATTGTGCAATGGATTATATAGCAATAGTAGAGAATGCATTGATTATAGAAATGATTGTATGACCTGTATTTACTTTGGCTCCCTCGTTCTTCACGCCGGACTCGCATGTGGGAAGCAAGATTTTGTTTTCAAATTTCGAAACGGTTTAAATAATTGCATCAGCCAAAGGAAGACAAGATGACTCCAAACCTTCCATACTCATGCTTTGACGCCCTGTGTTCACGGAGCTTGATGAACATCCGTGCCCTTACCCGAAACAGTTGTCATGGATAAAGACGCGTGTCCATGTTTAGTTTATACTGTCATAACACACCCTGTTACAGATGAAGTCCATCAGCAATGCTATTGATGACATTCTGCCAACGTGACAGGCACCTAACTCTATATGCTATCTGTACAATAATGACAATGTACAGTCAAAGCTTTTGCAATATGTCCACATACCACAGTACTGATCCGTACCTACATAGCCACCTGTAGCTTTACCATTCTACACTTACCCTTTTCCCGTGTCCTCTAAACATACCACTCAATCGCTTTCCATACCTTCAGTTGCATATTCCTCTTTTACAGTATTTATGATATGCGAAGACCATTTAAGAGCTACTATCTCGTTTCCATGTACTGAATGAAATACTTCTTCCTGGACGAAATTCAGTTTACTGTGACATACGAGTGCACCATCTGTGAAAGGCATATTTCATCTACCGATTACACGGCATATGGAGCAGTTAAAATCTCTTCTTGACAAGGAACAATTTCTACAGAGACTTTCAAACTGTGTTTTACTTTAGTGCATCATGGGTGCTTCAATCAAATCTCGAGAAGCACGTACATAATGAGTATTGATGCTAGGTTAATTATGGAATGTATGATGAGAGCGATGCATATTGACATGACAACTCTTTGTCAATTCGTAACCACAGGAGTGTAGACGTGTCTTACGGGGAGAGAGAGAGAGAGAGAGAGAGAGAGAGAGAGAGAGAGAGAGAGGAGAGAGAGAGAGAGAGAGAGAGAGAGAGAGAGAGAGAGAGAGAGAGAGAGAGAGAGAGAGAGAGAGAGAGAGAGAGAGAGAGAGAGAGAGAGTTTTCTGTTATATATAAGTCTGTTGTTTGTATGTCAACTGATGCTTGAAAGTGGTTGGGATGGAAGTCAACTAATTATTATCGATACAACAGAAGTAGGATGAGTGTCAAATATATGGATCGCCAGCTCAGCAACATGGAACCAACCCACACCGAATTCTAGAAAATATTTAAGGAGAATAATTACCTTTTATGAAGCCATAGATATAATGCAAACATATGAGAAAGAGAAGAATGGCGGGACCATATTTTTGGAAGGCAATCCGCTATGTACGCAGATTTGGGAATGGCTTTGATTTACAAAATGAATAGCTTATCGAGTAACCATTTCAGAAATGAAATGAATTACAATCTGTAGTTTATTATACATATTATAATTCTAGTACCCATAACCGGTTTATTGTGACAAAATTGTTCCTTACACATTAGGGATAGAAAGAAATTGCCAATAAGACTGGATCGAAAATAACACTGGTAATGCTAATCTTTATACACTCCAACCACTTATATGGACATAATTACGTCACGGCTCATTTGTCAGTGTTGCAATCACTTCCGCAATCATTAGCCCGCTCCTACACACATACATTGCATTATACATAATCCCTGAAGGCACAGCAAAACGGAACTAGAATAATTCTTAAAAGGAATTTCAATTAGTGCTGAATTAGAAAATCTACTTGTAATAAATCAATTCCGGGTGTGGACCGAATGCAGGTATATATAAACGTCTTGTTTTGAAGTACTGGCCATCACTGCTTTTGCCTCTCTACACCAGTATTTCCCGTCTAATCAGGACACTCTGTAAGTATGAGATGTTTAGCGTTTTACATAGCTTTTAGCCTGTCCCTATAAAGGCTATACTTCACGTTACTGTTTGATGAGAAGCAGTCCGTATATATTGCTGTTCGGTGATTTCGAACTTTTACTGATCACTATTTGCAATACTGATTGAATCCTCCAAATGTCTCAGATCAAGTCCCATTTCAACCAACACAGTTAGAAATGTAAAATAACGACGACGAGTAGGTAGAAGTACCGATTTTCTTGAAGGAAAGGTGTAACAAGTGTGAGTAGACGTTGATAATAAATGAAAATGTAAAACTCCTTTTCAGCCTTCCACAATGATGAAAATTATCGCCCTTGTTGCCTGTTTGGCTGTGGCTGCCTTTGCTGAGCCTTTGAGCTATGGCATGACAGGACTCAACGGAAAAGCTGGTCTGTACGGTGGCTACGGAGTGGGAGGTCTGTACGGAGGTTATGGAGTGGGAGGTCTATACGGAGGCTACGGAATTGGAGGTCTCTCCGGAGGCTACGGAATTGGAGGTCTATACGGAGGCCACGGAATGGGAGGTCTGTACGGAGGATACGGAATTGGAGGTCTCTACGGAGGCCACGGAATGGGAGGACTGTACGGAGGAATTGGAGGTTTCGGAAAAGGTAAATGCGAATATGATTGTGCTTGAGAATATTCTTAATCCCCCAGTATACATTGGTACTTTGACAGATTGTAAGAAAGTAATTTTGTAACCACTTTAATTTGTCATATGTGACATATCCAATCTGTGGGGATGAGGCGATATATATATGAGTACAACTCGTAAGAAATGACATTGTACGGAACTTCTTCTTCTAATAGCTCTTCTTTTGTTGCAGGTCTTGGATATGGCTACTACTAGGACTGCTGTTCCACTGTCACAATTCATCAATATCATCAATATGCACATTATTTATTGTATGTGGTTTGAAATATGTCACATTAAAACACAATCATCAAAACAAAGTCTTGATTTTCGTATTCATAGTACAGTTGGGCTTTTGTTGCACAAGAAGAAAGTTTGCCATTGATTGAATCACATGGGCACAATGTCATACCAGGAATTAATATGAAAGCCAAACATGTTTGTTACCAAGATGGGAAGAGAGACGAGCATGGGGTAGTATTTTCCTAGAAGCTACCTTTAGTAAGTAGATTACAGAAGTCGCTTAATACCGATTGGTAGTTTTAGAACTGCTGTAATGGCATTTGTTTAATGACACCTCTCCGGAATTACCTTTTCCAATTCATCACATTCATTCATCTTGTTTCATAAATACATTTCAATCATACGAGACTTGTCCTGAATGTACAGCATGTAAAGTGTTCTAAAATATACTTTTAATAATTCCAGTATAACACAGTTCACACAATAATCACTACAATGGGCTACATAAAGCATAAAACCAATTAAGACTTTATGCACATTAAACTTGATTAAATAAATTGTCTCCCATCACTGTACATTAAGAATACTGTCGGAATTGTGCAATGGATTATATAGCAATAGTAGAGAATGCATTGATTATAGAAATGATTGTATGACCTGTATTTACTTTGGCTCCCTCGTTCTTCACGCCGGACTCGCATGTGGAAGCAAGATTTTGTTTTCAAATTTCGAAACGGTTTAAATAATTGCATCAGCCAAAGGAAGACAAGATGACTCCAAACCTTCCATACTCATGCTTTGACGCCCTGTGTTCACGGAGCTTGATGAACATCCGTGCCCTTACCCGAAACAGTTGTCATGGATAAAGACGCGTGTCCATGTTTAGTTTATACTGTCATAACACACCCTGTTACAGATGAAGTCCATCAGCAATGCTATTGATGACATTCTGCCAACGTGACAGGCACCTAACTCTATATGCTATCTGTACAATAATGACAATGTACAGTCAAAGCTTTTGCAATATGTCCACATACCACAGTACTGATCCGTACCTACATAGCCACCTGTAGCTTTACCATTCTACACTTACCCTTTTCCCGTGTCCTCTAAACATACCACTCAATCGCTTTCCATACCTTCAGTTGCATATTCCTCTCTTTACAGTATTTATGATATGCGAAGACCATTTAAGAGCTACTATCTCGTTTCCATGTACTGAATGAAATACTTCTTCCTGGACGAAATTCAGTTTACTGTGACATACGAGTGCACCATCTGTGAAAGGCATATTTCATCTACCGATTACACGGCATATGGAGCAGTTAAAATCTCTTCTTGACAAGGAACAATTTCTACAGAGACTTTCAAACTGTGTTTTACTTTAGTGCATCATGGGTGCTTCAATCAAATCTCGAGAAGCACGTACATAATGAGTATTGATGCTAGGTTAATTATGGAATGTATGATGAGAGCGATGCATATTGACATGACAACTCTTTGTCAATTCGTAACCACAGGAGTGTAGACGTGTCTTACGGGAGAGAGAGAGAGAGAGAGAGAGAGAGAGAGAGAGAGAGAGAGAGAGAGAGAGAGAGAGAGAGAGAGAGAGAGAGAGAGAGAGAGAGAGAGAGAGAGAGAGAGAGAGAGAGAGAGAGAGAGAGAGAGAGAGAGAGAGAGAGAGAGTTTTCTGTTATATATAAGTCTGTTGTTTGTATGTCAACTGATGCTTGAAAGTGGTTGGGATGGAAGTCAACTAATTATTATCGATACAACAGAAGTAGGATGAGTGTCAAATATATGGATCGCCAGCTCAGCAACATGGAACCAACCCACACCGAATTCTAGAAAATATTTAAGGAGAATAATTACCTTTTATGAAGCCATAGATATAATGCAAACATATGAGAAAGAGAAGAATGGCGGGACCATATTTTTGGAAGGCAATCCGCTATGTACGCAGATTTGGGAATGGCTTTGATTTACAAAATGAATAGCTTATCGAGTAACCATTTCAGAAATGAAATGAATTACAATCTGTAGTTTATTATACATATTATAATTCTAGTACCCATAACCGGTTTATTGTGACAAAATTGTTCCTTACACATTAGGGATAGAAAGAAATTGCCAATAAGACTGGATCGAAAATAACACTGGTAATGCTAATCTTTATACACTCCAACCACTTATATGGACATAATTACGTCACGGCTCATTTGTCAGTGTTGCAATCACTTCCGCAATCATTAGCCCGCTCCTACACACATACATTGCATTATACATAATCCCTGAAGGCACAGCAAAACGGAACTAGAATAATTCTTAAAAGGAATTTCAATTAGTGCTGAATTAGAAAATCTACTTGTAATAAATCAATTCCGGGTGTGGACCGAATGCAGGTATATATAAACGTCTTGTTTTGAAGTACTGGCCATCACTGCTTTTGCCTCTCTACACCAGTATTTCCCGTCTAATCAGGACACTCTGTAAGTATGAGATGTTTAGCGTTTTACATAGCTTTTAGCCTGTCCCTATAAAGGCTATACTTCACGTTACTGTTTGATGAGAAGCAGTCCGTATATATTGCTGTTCGGTGATTTCGAACTTTTACTGATCACTATTTGCAATACTGATTGAATCCTCCAAATGTCTCAGATCAAGTCCCATTTCAACCAACACAGTTAGAAATGTAAAATAACGACGACGAGTAGGTAGAAGTACCGATTTTCTTGAAGGAAAGGTGTAACAAGTGTGAGTAGACGTTGATAATAAATGAAAATGTAAAACTCCTTTCAGCCTTCCACAATGATGAAAATTATCGCCCTTGTTGCCTGTTTGGCTGTGGCTGCCTTTGCTGAGCCTTTGAGCTATGGCATGACAGGACTCAACGGAAAAGCTGGTCTGTACGGTGGCTACGGAGTGGGAGGTCTGTACGGAGGTTATGGAGTGGGAGGTCTATACGGAGGCTACGGAATTGGAGGTCTCTCCGGAGGCTACGGAATTGGAGGTCTATACGGAGGCCACGGAATGGGAGGTCTGTACGGAGGATACGGAATTGGAGGTCTCTACGGAGGCCACGGAATGGGAGGACTGTACGGAGGAATTGGAGGTTTCGGAAAAGGTAAATGCGAATATGATTGTGCTGAGAATATTCTTAATCCCCCAGTATACATTGGTACTTTGACAGATTGTAAGAAAGTAATTTTGTAACCACTTTAATTTGTCATATGTGACATATCCAATCTGTGGGGATGAGGCGATATATATATGAGTACAACTCGTAAGAAATGACATTGTACGGAACTTCTTCTTCTAATAGCTCTTCTTTTTGTTGCAGGTCTTGGATATGGCTACTACTAGGACTGCTGTTCCACTGTCACAATTCATCAATATCATCAATATGCACATTATTTATTGTATGTGGTTTGAAATATGTCACATTAAAACACAATCATCAAAACAAAGTCTTGATTTTCGTATTCATAGTACAGTTGGGCTTTTGTTGCACAAGAAGAAAGTTTGCCATTGATTGAATCACATGGGCACAATGTCATACCAGGAATTAATATGAAAGCCAAACATGTTTGTTACCAAGATGGGAAGAGAGACGAGCATGGGGTAGTATTTTCCTAGAAGCTACCTTTAGTAAGTAGATTACAGAAGTCGCTTAATACCGATTGGTAGTTTTAGAACTGCTGTAATGGCATTTGTTTAATGACACCTCTCCGGAATTACCTTTTCCAATTCATCACATTCATTCATCTTGTTTCATAAATACATTTCAATCATACGAGACTTGTCCTGAATGTACAGCATGTAAAAGTGTTCTAAAATATACTTTTTAATAATTCCAGTATAACACAGTTCACACAATAATCACTACAATGGGCTACATAAAGCATAAAACCAATTAAGACTTTATGCACATTAAACTTGATTAAATAAATTGTCTCCCATCACTGTACATTAAGAATACTGTCGGAATTGTTCAATGGATTATATAGCAATAGTAGAGAATGCATTGATTATAGAAATGGTTGTATGACCTGTATTTACTTTGGCTCCCTCGTTCTTCACGCCGGACTCGCATGTGGGAAGCAAGATTTTGTTTTCAAATTTCGAAACGGTTTAAATAATTGCATCAGCCAAAGGAAGACAAGATGACTCCAAACCTTCCATACTCATGCTTTGACGCCCTGTGTTCACGGAGCTTGATGAACATCCGTGCCCTTACCCGAAACAGTTGTCATGGATAAAGACGCGTGTCCATGTTTAGTTTATACTGTCATAACACACCCTGTTACAGATGAAGTCCATCAGCAATGCTATTGATGACATTCTGCCAACGTGACAGGCACCTAACTCTATATGCTATCTGTACAATAATGACAATGTACAGTCAAAGCTTTTGCAATATGTCCACATACCACAGTACTGATCCGTACCTACATAGCCACCTGTAGCTTTACCATTCTACCTTACCCTTTTCCCGTGTCCTTACCCCTTCGCTTTCCCCTTCAGTCCTCTAAACATACCACTCAATCGCTTTCCATACCTTCAGTTGCATATTCCTCTTTTTACAGTATTTATGATATGCGAAGACCATTTAAGAGCTACTATCTCGTTTCCATGTACTGAATGAAATACTTCTTCCTGGACGAAATTCAGTTTACTGTGACATACGAGTGCACCATCTGTGAAAGGCATATTTCATCTACCGATTACACGGCATATGGAGCAGTTAAAATCTCTTCTTGACAAGGAACAATTTCTACAGAGACTTTCAAACTGTGTTTTACTTTAGTGCATCATGGGTGCTTCAATCAAATCTCGAGAAGCACGTACATAATGAGTATTGATGCTAGGTTAATTATGGAATGTATGATGAGAGCGATGCATATTGACATGACAACTCTTTGTCAATTCGTAACCACAGGAGTGTAGACGTGTCTTACGGGGAGAGAGAGAGAGAGAGAGAGAGAGAGAGAGAGAGAGAGAGAGAGAGAGAGAGAGAGAGAGAGAGAGAGAGAGAGAGAGAGAGAGAGAGAGAGAGAGAGAGAGAGAGAGAGAGAGAGAGAGAGAGAGAGAGAGAGAGAGAGAGAGAGAGAGAGAGAGAGAGAGAGGTGAAGTGGGTAGCATCACAAATGGCTGTGCCATAAATAGTTTTCTGTTATATATAAGTCTGTTGTTTGTATGTCAACTGATGCTTGAAAGTGGTTGGGATGGAAGTCAACTAATTATTATCGATACAACAGAAGTAGGATGAGTGTCAAATATATGGATCGCCAGCTCAGCAACATGGAACCAACCCACACCGAATTCTAGAAAATATTTAAGGAGAATAATTACCTTTTATGAAGCCATACATATAATGCAAACATATGAGAAAGACAAGAATGGCGGGACCATATTTTTGGAAGGCAATCCGCTATGTACGCAGATTTGGGAATGGCTTTGATTTACAAAATGAATAGCTTATCGAGTAACCATTTCAGAAATGAAATGAATTACAATCTGTAGTTTATTATACATATTATAATTCTAGTACCCATAACCGGTTTATTGTGACAAAATTGTTCCTTACACATTAGGGATAGAAAGAAATTGCCAATAAGACTGGATCGAAAATAACACTGGTAATGCTAATCTTTATACACTCCAACCACTTATATGGACATAATTACGTCACGGCTCATTTGTCAGTGTTGCAATCACTTCCGCAATCATTAGCCCGCTCCTACACACATACATTGCATTATACATAATCCCTGAAGGCACAGCAAAACGGAACTAGAATAATTCTTAAAAGGAATTTCAATTAGTGCTGAATTAGAAAATCTACTTGTAATAAATCAATTCCGGGTGTGGACCGAATGCAGGTGTATATAAACGTCTTGTTTTGAAGTACTGGCCATCACTGCTTTTGCCTCTCTACACCAGTATTTCCCGTCTAATCAGGACACTCTGTAAGTATGAGATGTTTAGCGTTTTACATAGCTTTTAGCCTGTCCCTATAAAGGCTATACTTCACGTTACTGTTTGATGAGAAGCAGTCCGTATATATTGCTGTTCGGTGATTTCGAACTTTTACTGATCACTATTTGCAATACTGATTGAATCCTCCAAATGTGTTTGATGTTTTACGATCTATGAACTCAAGGTCACATCTAGCAGCATAAGTCTCAGATCAAGTCCCATTTCAACCAACACAGTTAGAAATGTAAAATAACGACGACGAGTAGGTAGAAGTACCGATTTTCTTGAAGGAAAGGTGTAACAAGTGTGAGTAGACGTTGATAATAAATGAAAATGTAAAACTCCTTTTCAGCCTTCCACAATGATGAAAATTATCGCCCTTGTTGCCTGTTTGGCTGTGGCTGCCTTTGCTGAGCCTTTGAGCTATGGCATGACAGGACTCAACGGAAAAGCTGGTCTGTACGGTGGCTACGGAGTGGGAGGTCTGTACGGAGGTTATGGAGTGGGAGGTCTATACGGAGGCTACGGAATTGAGGTCTCTACGGAGGCTACAGGAATTGGAGGTCTATACGGAGGCCACGGAATGGGAGGTCTGTACGGAGGATACGGAATTGGAGGTCTCTACGGAGGCCACGGAATGGGAGGACTGTACGGAGGAATTGGAGGTTTCGGAAAAGGTAAATGCGAATATGATTGTGCTGAGAATATTCTTAATCCCCCAGTATACATTGGTACTTTGACAGATTGTAAGAAAGTAATTTTGTAACCACTTTAATTTGTCATATGTGACATATCTAATCTGTGGGGATGAGGCGATATATATATGAGTACAACTCGTAAGAAATGACATTGTACGGAACTTCTTCTTCTAATAGCTCTTCTTTTGTTGCAGGTCTTGGATATGGCTACTACTAGGACTGCTGTTCCACTGTCACAATTCATCAATATCATCAATATGCACATTATTTATTGTATGTGGTTTGAAATATGTCACATTAAAACACAATCATCAAAACAAAGTCTTGATTTTCGTATTCATAGTACAGTTGGGCTTTTGTTGCACAAGAAGAAAGTTTGCCATTGATTGAATCACATGGGCACAATGTCATACCAGGAATTAATATGAAAGCCAAACATGTTTGTTACCAAGATGGGAAGAGAGACGAGCATGGGGTAGTATTTTCCTAGAAGCTACCTTTAGTAAGTAGATTACAGAAGTCGCTTAATACCGATTGGTAGTTTTAGAACTGCTGTAATGGCATTTGTTTAATGACACCTCTCCGGAATTACCTTTTCCAATTCATCACATTCATTCATCTTGTTTCATAAATACATTTCAATCATACGAGACTTGTCCTGAATGTACAGCATGTAAAGTGTTCTAAAATATACTTTTTTAATAATTCCAGTATACCACAGTTCACACAATCATCTCTACAATGGGCTACATAAAGCATAAAAAACCAATTAAGACTTTATGCACATTAAACTTGATTAAATAAATTGTCCCCTATCACTGTACATTAAGAATACTGTCAGAATCGTTCAATGGACTATATGGCAATAGTAGAGAATGCCAGTATTTGTGATATGCGAAGACCATTTAAGAGCTACTCTTTCGTTTCCTTGTAATGAATGAAATACTTCTTCCTGGACGAAATCCACATTTTACTGTGACACACGAGTGCTGGCGAGTAGGTGCCTGACTCTGAGGGTGTGGGTTCGAATCCCGGATGGGACTCGACCCCCTCAAAAGAACTAGAATCTGTTCTTTACTGAGAAAGTGTATCCCAAGATATAACATGTTTTACATGGCCTAACAGCGTGCGGGGCGATAGAGCCCGTGGAATAACAGGATTCAAGAGTGACGTCACTTCACTCAAGGAGGACTCCAGAACAATCGAAGAAAACCAACTGTTCATATCAGAAGAAATAACAGTTATGAAACGGAACTTTACAAGCCTTGAGTCAAAAGTGCAAAACCTTAAAAAATCAAGTAAGGATTTCTGCGAAAACAACACAACGTTTCTTAAAGAATATGTCAACAAACTTGATGAAGTGCATGGTCAAATGTTTGAAACTTTTGCCACTCACCTCACGGATCAAAAGAGCATTGCTAATGCAGAAATTGCAGAACTAAAGAATCCTACCCCTTCACTAGACATACCCGACACAACAGGCTACACTGAGGAATGCAAGCAAAGTTTACATCAATATGAGAAACACAAGAGCAATGGTAACCTCAAGCAAAACATATGCCCAGAATCCACTGCAAACGGACACGAGGAGGTACAAGCTGTCTCATCAAGGCCACAAGATGACATTGTCCATCCCGGATCTAAAGAAGAAGCTTCTAAAGAAGTTGATAACACCTTTACATGCCCACGTGAAGCCCCAACCACAGTCCACACGTCAGTCAACGGTGCAAAGTCTTTGCAGCATCAAACACGTTCAGCTCAGGAATCCAAGCTCTTGCTACTGAATCTAGATACAATTGTAACCAAACCCGATGATATGACATTCAGAGGTGTAGACAGACTGCGTGTCAAACGGTTTTTCCTTAGTGCAACAGCTCCAGATGTCAAGCCAGACGATATTGCCAAATATCTCTCCACTCGTGGTGCAAAAACAACAATAATTCGCCTTATGTCCAGTAGGAGGAAACGAACTGTTTCAGCTCGAATCAACATTCATGCTTCTCACGTCCCCAAACTGGAATCTAGAGCGTTTTGGCCAAAGAACAAAACATGCCGACCCTCAATGAGCTCCAAAGCCTACCTCGCCCAGTTTGAATGATGCTACTGAATAACCTCAGTGTTCTCACATGGAATGCTACTGGAATAACAACAAGTGTTGCATATCTACGGGACATCCCAACAAGATATGATGTGGGTGTTTGTGGCATTAGTGAGCACTGGTTGTTTGGAAAGGGTTTGCCTTTCCTGGACACAATCAGTAATGATTATAAAACATTTGGTGTAAGCGACTCTGACTTAAAGCTGCCCAGTAACAGAAAGGTTGGCAAGGCTGGTGTTGCTGTAATGTGGCACAAGCGACTTGGAAACAATGTTTCTGTCCTGGATATACCCGATGATAGAATAATTGGTACTCACATACATTCTGGACTTGAAGTGAGCATCTTCATATTTCAAGTATACTTACCATCCACAAACTCAAATGTTCAAATGTATATAGATTACACATATGCACTTTGGAATCTCTGTGACCGTTACAAGGATGAAGGAACTATCATCTTCATGGGTGATTTAAACTGCAAAATAGTCAAAGATGCTTCTAGCGGAAGAGAGGCTGCTGTAGACAAGTTGTTATCCAGAAATAATCTAACTGCTGTTACTACCTCGGCACTGTGTAAGGGATTGCATTGCTCATATGTGTCCTTTGATGGTACTAACTCCTCGCTTATTGATCACATTGTTATCCCGGAGAGTAAACTCGACTGCATTTCTTCATGTCAAATCCTAGAGGATCACCAGCTCAATGTCAGCAACCATAGGCCTGTTGTTGCTTGTCTTGTAGTAGGCCAGGAACTTTCGTATCAACTCCTAGACTTCAACAGGATATCCTACAACTGGAAGAAGTTAAGTAGAGAAGAACTGCGTTCCGGCTACTCAACTGACCTGACACAATTATTGACTGAAAGTGGTCATTGCCATACTACACTGCAGTCAGTAGATGATGTCAACAAGTATTACGACACACAGACTAAATGTATCAATGATGCATCATTGATGCATGTTCCTAAGAAGTAATATAGTCCCCATCTCCACAAAGCAATGCGTTGTGCTAGAACGTCTTAGATTCGACATGGGAAACCAAGAAGTGGCAGTCATATCACATATAGGACTTATAAAGATCTAAAAAGAGAATTTAGAAGGTCTCAAAGAAAGCACATTGAAGATCAAAGATGCAAGGTCTTGAACGAGATTGACGCATATGCGGAAATAGATCAGTCTGCATTCTGGAAGGCTATAAGTTCTAGAAGGAAAGGTCACCGAGCCGACACGGGTGGAGACGTGTGTTTTCAAGAAGGAATTATCACTCGCGATCCTAAAGACATTGCAGATGGATGGAGTGAATATTTCAAAGCACTGTATAGAAGATCCTTCCTTTGACTCAGATCATAAGGACTCTGTTGAAGAAGAGCTCCGTTCTCCAATGTGTGCAGATACAGCATTGCCTCCTGTCGTTTCCAACGAACGGTACTCAGCCATTTCTAAATTGAACACGGGCAAAGCACCAGGTATTGATCATGTGACCAATGAGCATATCATTCATGGGGTACTGGTTTAGTCGCCTGCCTTACCAAACTGTTCAATGCCTTCTTTACTGTAGGTTATGTGCCGCCATCAATGAAACGTGGAGTTAGCATCACACTATACAAAGGTGGCAGTAAACCGAAAATGTTACCAAATAGTTACAGGGCAATAACGCTTCTTCCTGCTATCTATAAAATATTTGAACGAGTACTACTGTCACGTCTGCAGAAGTTTCACAATCCATCACCGCTTCAGCATGGCTTTAGAAGTGGAATAGACTCAACAATAACTTCATTTCTTCTCCGAGAGTGCATAGCATATTCTGTGGAAAATAACACTAAACTCCTTGATGCTTCCTTGATGCTCAAAAAGCATTTCGCTGTGTTTGGCATGATGGCCTCTTCTTAAAGCTGAGACACATGTACATTGGGACTCCAAAAGTACTTCTTGATGTTATCCTATTAATGTATGACACTATGCAGAGCTGTGTTATTCACAGGCGCCACTGAAACAAGTGGTTTGACATCAAGCAAAGGACACGGCAAGGAGGTGTACTATCACCTTGGCTGTACCAGTTATATCTTGACGAACTGCTAAAGAGTCTTTCTGCTTCACCGTCTGGAGCCTGTATTAATGCAATCCCATGTGCTGCACCCCCTCAAGCTGATGACATAATACTGCTGTCCTTTACGAAACAGGGTTTAGACTCTCTGTTGGCAATCTGAGCTGCGTACAGCAGTAGATGGCGGTTCCGGTACAGTGCAAATACATTGGTATTCATGAAAATGGATTTCACCCACTCACAGCAGCAAAGATCTACCAGTCAACTGTTCTCCCACGTGCACTGTACGGCTGTGAAACACTGTATAACATGTCTACAGGTTCCTGTCTTCAGCTGGAAAGGGCGCACAGATTTTGCCTAAAGATAATCCAAGGGTTACCGACAAGAACTAGAACAAAATTCACTATCATGTTTGGAATGTTCTCAAACAATAAAATACTAAACCATATTATACTTCTTGCCAAAAGATTCATTTATGTTTCAAGTATAAAACAACAAGCACTTTCCCTTGAGGGATTTCTTAAGTTATTAAAAGATATATATACAACTGAAAAATATATAGCTAGGAAAAACAATAGCTTAGATCCCTTTATAAGGAAATGGAAACATTTAGATACCGTACTATGTGCTAAACATTAAATTCTACTTATAATATCAGCTGAGACCTCCAGACCCTACTCACTACAACCATACTATTCAACCTTACCCCTCCAATTTCATATTCCCTACATAGTCCCAGCCCTGTGACTGCCGCAGCAACCGGCCTTCTCCCCCCCGTCGTCGACATGGAGGTGACCGTTGACGTGACGGCATGCCCTCCACGGTGGGTCGTAGCATCTCTAGTTCTTCCTCATAACTCCTGCGCTGGCTCCGTCAGGGACGCTCCGAACGTACTGCCCGCCGGTTTTCCTCCTGGCGCCCCGTAACCCGGATCTCTTCTGGGCGCTCCGTCACACTGGTCTTCTCCGTGCATTCCTGGCGCACCGTCACCCGGGTCTCCAGGTCGCCTTCTCCCACTCCCGTAGTGGAAGAGGTCCTACATGTAGCGCTCCTGGCATCCTCGCCCACCGTTCGGGCGAGGCCTTCTACTTCTGCCTCGGATGC